GCAGCAGCCGGCGTATGCAGTTAACAAAGTCGACAAGACTTTTGCATTTGGATTTTTTGTATTTAGTGGACGATACCACAACAAATATAGGTAAATAGGTAGTGCTAAATGTTAAACTTACGGTGGTGCTAAATTTTAAATTTAACGAACCTATTCTTTTAGGCACACCAAAAAAATTCAAAAATTTGTGAACTTAATCGGAATGACCAGTTTTGGGAATGGGAACTGTCATCAGATAAAATGCCTCTGTACATTATCTACTAATTTGTGCGCAAAATGTAGCCTAATACTAATTTGGGCGCATTAAGAAGGCGCTGCGGGAAATTAGCTGGGATCTCGCCAGTTTTCTTATTCTTCAGCAACATAAAAGAAAGTTAACTCATAGATACATACATTTGAAAAAACAACAAAAAATCAATTTGCTGACATAGGGCCAGTTTTTCAGTGCACGGTCGTGGTTTAAACTAATTTTAAACGCCCGATCTGGCTGGTTTAAACTAAGATCAGCCAATCAAATGTCAGCAAGCTGTTCAATTTACACTCAGTTTACTTAATCTGAGTTTAAACTGGCACTGAAAAACTGGCCCATAATCGTGTTTTATATTGGTAAAAGGAGAAAATTAAAAGTAATAAAAGAAATTGTTGGCACGTGTGCGTATATATATTTCGGAGGGAATACTGGTGCCCACGCTATGACGCATGTCAAATGAGTTGGGGGCATGATGGACAAATATCGCAGAAAATCATTTGCATACAAATTTCTGCGAAATTCTATTCAGTTAATTTGAATTAAGACATCCACAGGGGGCTCTGAAACGTATTGTTTGAACAAAAAAAGATGCACAATTTTAAGAAAGAGCAATTGCCTAGTTTTTATTCATACTTTTAGCGTTTATCAAAAAAGAGCAATCGTTCCTGTTTAAGCGATTCAGTTTTTATCGTTTAGGTAATTATTAAAATAATTCTATTTTGGTTTTTAATGAAAATAAATTCAATCGTTAATGCTGAAGCTGTAATGCATATAGATGCTAGGTGTTAACAGTAAGCTCGCAATGGCATACAACAACAACATTTCGTTGATTTATTTTGTTTCAATGTTAACGGCCGCTGTGGTGAAGTGGTAAGCAGCAGGGTTGTTGCAAATATTCGCATTCGCAACCGCGGAGCTTCCGCATCAATTTTAACATTCGCATTCGCTTTCGCATTCGCAATAATCAATGCGGATCTTTTGCGAATGCGAATATTGAAGGAACCGAAAATAACAGTTATTTTCTTTAGCCAAATAGTTTTTATTCCCAACTAAAAGCCCTTTCCGGACAATAAAGAACCGCTTATCCAAATTAAACAAGTTTGGTATCAAATGAAAGAAGACTTAAATAGCTTTAAAACTGAAATGTCCAAACGAGCAAAGTCACCTATTGAAAAATATTTCAATAAAATATGTTAATTAATTACCATAGAACAAACCTTGGGTCAGGTATATGAATTTCTTTAGTATTAAATTATATAAAAAAATATATAAATAGAGGTGGTAACCTTCGTTCGTTATTTCTGCTTAAAAGCTATTTCAGTCCTCTTTCACATGATACCAAATTTGTTTAATTTTGATAAGCTGTTTGTTTATTATCCAGAAAAAACTTTCGGAATATAAAATATTAGGCCAAGTCAAACTGGTAAAAAAATAACTGTTATTTTCGGTCCCTGGAATATTCTGCAAGTGCAATGATAAAACGTGTATCTGGCCAGTCACAGGGATCAAAAATGAATTACAAAAACTAAAACCGAAAAACGCTGTTGACGTCGCTGGTTCTTCACATTCAGACACAACCAAAAGAATGAGAATAAAGAATTCTTTGGAAAACAACGGTGTTTAAACAACGATCTTGCCATGATACTAGACTGTGAAGATGAAAGTCAGGAGGATACATCCGACATTTGCAGACCGATGCAATTCCCAAAAAAGAATTATTGCACCGCAATAAAAAAATAATAAGTATAACTGAAAGTCCTCTCGACTGGTGCAGCGTCAATCGAAAAGAATTTACAATTTTGTCAAGTTTGAAATTTTTCAAGTTTAAAAACTTTTTATTAAATACAATGTTCCAATTTATAAATTCAAGTACTAAAAAAACCATTATTTAAAATTACTAACCTTCCNCATGATACTAGACTGTGAAGATGAAAGTCAGGAGGATACATCCGACATTTGCAGACCGATGCAATTCCCAAAAAAGAATTATTGCACCGCAATAAAAAAATAATAAGTATAACTGAAAGTCCTCTCGACTGGTGCAGCGTCAATCGAAAAGAATTTACAATTTTGTCAAGTTTAAAAACTTTTTATTAAATACAATGTTCCAATTTATAAATTCAAGTACTAAAAAAACCATTATTAAAAATTACTAACCTTCCCATTTTTTATTTAACTAAATCACCTAATTTACTCACCTAAATTATTTCTTAACAAGTAAAAAAGTCTAAGTTTGTATAGTTTTTCACCTTTCCGAGAACTACCGCTACATGGTCAGCAGTGGTGGTTTTACGTCTATTTCAAACATCTTCGATAGAACGTTCAGTTAGACATAATGAGATAAACTTATATAGATATATGTGGGCGGCATCACGCCCATTTTCCAAAATTCCATAATAATGTTATTTCTTTTCAAGGGATTGTTGTTGGTATCAATTTTGGGTAAAATTAGCGTTATAAAAAGGTGGTCGTAATTTTAGTCAGATTTCAATAACTTTCAACGTTTTGCCTTTATGGGGCAACCACAATAATCATACCGAGTTTGGTACACAATGATCGAACGGTTACCGAGATACACATATGTGGTCATAAGTGGGCGGGGTCATGCCCATTTTCCAACATTTTATTATAAGCGTACTTTTTGCTATAGAATTATTGCAAACATCAATTTTGAATAAATTAGCTTCAGTATTTACTGATTTATCGAAGCTTTCGTATTTCTCTAAATTACCGTTATGTGGGATGTGGGCGTGGTTATTATCCATTTTTTAAATTTTCAGCAGTTCGGTATGTTTTGTGACGGCCAACAACTGTGCCAAGTTTGGAAGAAATTTGTGGAGCGGTTCCCAAGATATACACATGCAATCATAAGTGGGCGTGCCTACGCCCATTTTCCAAAAATACATATCAATTTTGTGTGAGTAAGCTTCAGTACTTACTAAAATATCGCAGTTTTCGTATTTCTGAAAACTACCGTTATATGGGAGGTAGGCCCGATTTTGCCCATTTTCAACACCATCCGTCCTACGTTCAAAAGAAGTACACATACCAAGTTTCGTTAAGATATCTCAATTTGTACTCGAGTTATCGTGTGCACAGGCGGTTACTCTTTTCATTCTGATCATTTATGTATACATTTGTCTATATCTGTTACAAACAACCGTTATGTGAATTAAGTTATAATACCCTTGCGTACATGTGCGCTCGCATTCGCATCCGCGGATGTCTAAAATTCCACATTCGCAACATCCCTGGTAAGCAGTGCGCGCTTACACTCCGCAACGCCTGGGTTCAAGCCCTGGTCAAAGCAGCATCGCAAAAAAATTTAGAAAAAAAGGTTTTTTCTTAACAGCGGTCGTCCCTCGGCAGGCAATGGCAAAGCTCCGGGTGTATTTCTGCCATGGAAAACAGCTTTTCATAAAAATACAATCGCCGTTCGGAGTCGGCGTAAAACTGTAGGTCCCTCCGCTTTGGGCGACAACATCAAGGCGCACGCCACAAATCGGAGGAGAAGCTCGGCCAAACACTAACCTATGTGTAAGCGCCAATCTATTATTATTATTATTATTATTAATGTTAACGATTGATGATTTATTTTATTTCAACGTTAACGATTGAGTTTTGTTTCGTTAATTTAGCTCTGAAACGTAACGAAGTTATTTTGATAAGTTATTTTTGTGCATCAACAAAACGAAATTAATTTGTTGAGCATCTCTGCATACGGCCCATTATTTAAGAAATAAACAAGTAAAAAAGTCTAAGTTCGGGCGGAGCCGAACATTAAATACCCTGCGCAAAACTACCATTACGTGGTAAACATCTATTTTGGCCCCATTGTGCGTCGTCATTTTAGCCGATTGGTGGCTAGATTTAGCTGCCACATACTTTTTTTGGCCACATAAATTTAAAATTGCCCCTAGCCCCTTTTAGCGCTTTGGAAAATTTATTCATGCTTGACATGAGAAAGTAGTATATGCTTCATTTGATCTCGTTTTCTTTTTCATTTATGTAAGAGATGAATTTTTAAACTAAGAAAGACTTTGATAAATATACGCATACTAAAGAATAGAAAGTTTCGAAAAGTGGTTAACATGAAAATGGATAGGTTCACTCAAAGTTATGTTAAAATATTACACCCAAAATGGATTTGACAAAAGCGATTGAATTTGACATTGGTCGCAGAAGAACCATCCTATAAAGTCAAATTGAAAAATATGTTTGATATGATAATACCTTAAAAGAGAGTCCCACTGATTACACCCAAGTTCATAAAAGATAAAGAAGACTGTAACTGTTTTATAAATCAAAACACTTTATATAGCTCTTAGAATCTTTGTTTATTTTTTATGAATAAGGCCATTAGCATATACTGTTTTTATAAGTAAATCTTATAGCGTGATGCTATTTATGTATGCATATGAATTTTGGCTGGCGAAATACGCAGTTTGCCAACTAAATAAAAAAGCGTATATGAGTAGATGTAACCACATTAAAAAAGGTTTTAAATATTGAGTGGCGCAACACAAGAACACTTTTTGTTGCACGAAACCCTTGAAAACGTGCCTGCCATCTATTTCTTCTGTTTCGACATTTGGCTATTTTACGTTTCTTTCATTTTAACGTCATTTGCATTGTCAGATTTTTCAAATTCGTTTTTGGGTCGACATTCTGCTATTTCATATTTTTGCATTCTCATGCCATCCATCTTCCATTTCTTTCATTTCCATGCCATTCGCATCGTCGAACGTGCCTGTCAAACACTGCCGACATCATGCTTTTCAGTTTGGCAGACACGTCCGCTTTTTGGCAGGCACATCCGTTGTTAGAAAGAGAATAGACAAAAAGGGGCATAGGATTCCATACTTGTAAGTATATACGATGGTAGCAAAGATGTTGCAACTAAATGAACTCCGTACAAAAATAGAAAATAAAACAATCTCAAGATCAGACGCTGTAGACATAAGTTATTGGGAAAGTTTACTTTCTCAATTAAAAGCACATATGGCTCGTGCCCGTTTGCGAGATAAACATCACGAGAACTTGCGTAAAAAACTGAATATTTTAAAAACTAAAGATGATGCCGAGCGTTCTGATGCCACGTCGACATCTAATAACGAAAAAAACTAATTCTACCTATATTGAGACATTTGATAATGGTAATAAGGAATTCAAAAATGAATTCAACCTTTTACAGCGATATTTTGATATGTACGAAGATGGAAAACACAGTCCAACTTATGTCCAAAACCTTGATGATGAAAATGCTTTGCCAACTATTACTGAGGAAGATAGTTTTAGTGCTATTGAAAGATTGCGTGCAAAAGCGACAGAAAGAAGTTCAAATACGGAACATTTTACGGAAGAAGAAAGCCATATGCGTAACACCATGCGTAGAAAAATGGATAAAGACGATGCCGAATTGTCTGTAGAAGTACCTCTGGAGATAGTTCAAATAGCAGCTGACAAATACAGACCTGGCAAACCTCGGTATTTAAATCGCGTGCATACCGGTTTCGAATGGAATAAATATGATCAAACTTATTACGACATGGATAACCCTCCACCCAAAATAGTTCAAGGATACAAATTTAATATTTTTTATCCGGACCTTATCGGTAAAAACACTACACGGCAACATTTTTTGGTAAGCACACAGACGCCTTCTGGTATTTATTTATTTGTTTATTTAATGTCTAAAGTTATATATGGTACAGACATTATGAAAAATTACAAGCAATATATTTTAATTACAAATTGAAAACGTAAAAACAACAAGAGTAGAATACAATAAAGGCTATCAAGATCTAAAAATTTCGATAAACAGTTGTACTCATTCAATGCCCTAACAACGGGGGCATTTGCATTGTAAACCGTTTTATTTAAACCAATACGAAAAGTATCAAAGCGACGAAGGTTTCTACTCGGCACAGTGAAATCTATCAACCCAAGAAGGGACGGGCAGTCGACTTTACCCGAGATGATGTCGAGAAGAAATGATATAAACAGTAGTGAGCGTCTATTATGTAATGGTAATAAGCTAATCAATTGGCAACGCGACCAGTGTTGCCGCGAATAATTTTTAGTGGTAGCCAAATTCCTTTAAAAAAGGGCTAAAAAGAGCTAAAGTCGTTGTGGCTAAAAATGGTAGCTAAAATTGTTTACTTACATATACATATATGTGTATACACGCAAACATTTTCAATAAGTAATGGTATAGAAAAACAATGAACTCTGGAAAATGTCAGGGTGAGTGTTCCCCACGTAGGGCGTTTACCATTCAGGAAGCACCTTTGGATCGCTCTGGATGATGGAGATAATGCCGTCCTTCTTTTTTTATGAGCAATAAACAAATGTTTTGTTTTTGGTAAAAAGAAAGGCAACTTAGCATGTTCTATGCCTAATATTTACCAATTAATCCTAAGCTTCGTCGTTTTGTGTGTAAATGTCAGACAAAACAGAATGAATAAGAAATATTACCCAATGAGAAATTATAAAAGCTTTTAATGAAGGGGGTTTCCAGAGCGTGAGTCGAGGTATGGTGAATAAAGTATCTCGCCGCGAAAGGGATAGAAGTAGGGTGAGCGCAATTGTGATTGGCTAGAAGAAAACAATGAAGAGTATGCGGTAAAGAACGGTGTTTTGAATGCTGTTGAAAACAGCCAATATAAAGGGGCTAG